CTCTCTCTCTCTCTCTCTCTCTCTCTCTCTCTCTCTCTCTCTCTCTCTCTCTCTCTCTACGCATCAGGCCTTAGTATCTCTCTGAATGTCTTCATCTCTCGCTACTACCTCTCTGAGTTTCTTACAATAATTCACCATTTTCTATATCTTTGTGAGTGTTTTGGGTGGGGTAGTTTTTCACCCAATACGCAGGTGATTACTCGAGTCCTCTTCGACCCGAGAGCCTTAACCGATCGACATTAGTTCGTCCGGTGCCGTGCTCGTGTCGACAAATGTTGCTTTAGCTATTACAATGATCTACATAGTGCAAGGAAAATGATCGATAGCGAACTCCAGAAACCGAGCAGCATCATACACATGAAACCAGATAGTCATGACCTCGAACCAAGAGCAGAATTGCAACACGAGTTCCACCAAATAAGAGCTCAGCAAAAGCTCACAAGTGACAATGTTGGAATATTCTCGTCATCATCAACAATGAACCAATGTCGACATCCTATCTGGCGCTCTGCGCCCAGACTACAAATGGCAAATCCTATCTAGCCTATCTACAATGCCGCTGGTGATGTCAACAGCTCCCGAAGTACGAGCAGATCTCGGCCAATGCCGTTCGCCTCAAGCTCCAGGTATGTCTCTCGTATCACTCACAACCTCGATCCCCCACACACACATGCCACATGCACCCAAGGACCACCATGCGCCCCATCCAGCATAGCGCAGGGCAGCTCGGCTATGGCTGCCTGCTCTTCCTGCTCGCCCGTAAGCGCGTGGGCGCTGGCCAGCGATTAGCGCAGCAGCGCTTGCGCAGCATGCAGCCAGTGCCCGAATGCCAAATGTGGGGGGAAGTGGCCTGCCTGCTGCGTGCGGTCTGGCTGCACTGGGCCGCTGCGCAGAAGCTTCCGGTAGGCCCCAAGTGGCTGAGCCCCAGTCCAAACGAATCAGGCCCAGGGCCTATGGCGATTACCCGTGTTCTACTGCCCGCAGCCTGTGTTCGGTCCATGTTGCGTATCTGGCCCAGGGCCTGCCTCAGTTACATACGAAAAAGGCAGCCAGGGCCTGGGCGCTCTCAACGAACTGGCGCTGCACAACTGCCTGAATTTCCTCAGTTGCGTGGTAGCCGAAAATAGGCCTCTCAGCCTTGGTCGGGCCTGCCTTCACTTAGGGCGGCTGACATTGCTGATAACAGGGCCCAGTAGGCCTTACGGAGGCCATGCGCCTCACATTCCCTCCTCCATACTTCGCTAGTCCTCTGAGAAGCTCATTCAATCTGGCGCTTTCCTTTCTGCAGCAACTTCTCGTAGTGGGCGACAACCTGTGGAGCGGTCTGCATCAGTTCCTCCCGTGTAAACCATCTATCCTCCTTTGGATCAGTGTGATGTCTGAACCGAACATGATACTGCAGCTTCGGCTTCGGAGGACGTCCGCTGCCTGTCGGTCTTGGAACTGGCATTTCCCTGTAGTCTATAATGTCGTCGATGTCAACCTCTCCGTGCATGGTTGGGGGCAGCATTGAGCGACGAGGAGGAAACTGGTCAGTTTCCTTGAAAGGTGCAAGCTTGGAGGCTTGAAAGACAGGGTAAGTGTGTAGGTGACCAGGGATCTGAATTACATATGACAGTCCGTCCGGATCATCCCCGACAACATCTAGAACCTCCCATGGTCCAAAGTACTGTGACATGAGCTTGCGGGAGATCCCGTGCTCCTGTCCCAGTTCTGAGGACTTGACCCAGACTCTGTCCCCTACCTGAAATGTAGATGGGTGGCGGTGCCTGTTTTCAGACTCTATCATCGGCGCCTGTGCCTTGTGCATTTGTTCAACAGCTTGCTGCATCAGGCGCTCATATCGATAAGTGAATTCTAAGGTGCCTGGTGCAGCAGAAGGCTGATTTTCAGGTCGTAGAAAATCTAAGGGCAGTCTAGGTTTGAAAGTCAGTGGCAGGCTGTTGGGGCTCACCCCTGTTGCACTGTGCACGACGTTGTTATACAGACTGGCGATGAGAGCAAGTTTCTCATCCCAGTCCACCTGATTGGGCTTGATGTAATGCCTCAGCAGGTGTTGAACAGCGCGGTTCAGCTGCTCTGCTTGCCCGTTTGCCTCTGGGTGGTTCCCAGAGGTCATCTGCAGTTGTGTTCCATGTTCTGCAACTGCGGCCTTCCACAGTTCACTGGTAAATCGCACATCCCGGTCACTAATTATGGACTTTGGCAAACCAGAATCCCTGACCCAGTTTTCTTTGAACAGCTTAATGGCGTACTCGGTCTTGGCTGTTGCAGGCATGGCGACTAACCTAGCATACTTGCTAAACCTATCCACAATGACATAGACATCTCGCATTCCACTCTTGCTGGTGACCAGCGTGTCCATGAAGTCCATGGACAGGCTCTCACCGGGCCTTTCCGATATCGGAAGGGGCTTGAGAAGTCCAAGGGGGGCCTGCATATGTGGCTTGTCCCTCTGACATACCTGACAAGTCTTCACGTATAGCTTGGCGTCTCTCATCATTGTGGGCCACCAGAATCACTGCAGCAGATTAGCTGCAGTTTTCTTATACCCAAAATGTCTGGTGGCGTCGTGACATCCTCCTAGAAAGAAACTACGCAAAGACTCTCTATTGGGTACACACAAACGTTTATTCCCACCCTTCTCAAGGAATAGCAGGCCATTGATCAACTCAAACTCGTCCAAAGTCACTTTATCCTTCACCTCGAGTTTGCGTATGATCTCTGACATGAACGGATCCTCACGATAGGCTTCCACGAAGGATTGAGTAACATCGTTCACAAACCGAAACTTAGTGATCAGCGCACCCTGGAAGTCTAGCCTACACAACAGCGCATCAGCAACCTTGTTGTACTCCCCCTTGATGTACTGGTGTTCGTAGTCATATTGCTCTATGACTTCAATCCATCGCTTCAAAGCATCGGAGAGTACCGGTTGAGTTTTCATCCACCTCAGAGTCTGATGATCAGTCCTGACGTAGAAGAAGCGACCAAGGAGGTAATGCGTCCAGTGAGTCAACGCTTTGAAGATCGCGTAGAGTTCCTTCTCATAGGTGAACTTGGCCAACTTCTGAGAGGGCATCTTTTTGGACATGTACTCTACCGGCCTTAACTTTTCCCCGGATGTGTGTCCTGTCTTGAGAGTCCTCTAATGTGAGGAGTCGAGTGCACTCAACCTTGAGAGTCAGCATTGTCCACGTGGAGCATCTGGAAGGAGAGGGCGAAGCTATCTGAAGGGCCCTGGACGAAGCACTGGCTCGCGGTCACCATGCCAACCCACCAGGAGTAGAGCACGCATACGTCGCTGCTTTGTCCTTTGTCTGCCTGTTGCGCTGATAGATGGGTTATGAAGGGTAGGCCAGCCCTACAGGGGAGACTAGCACCGAACGTCTTTAAATAAATACCGGCGGAGTACCTTCCATTGGCTGTGATCGTCGTCCTGTTTGCGACGTTAAATAATTCCTGAGGACTTCAGGGGCCGTCCTTAAACGCCTCTTGATCAGCGCTGTGTGCACACCTTTAGACACGCACACTATCTGGATTGCTCAGGGATGCTGACGTCAAGTGACACTCAAGAAGAATTGAGGGGGGGGTAGTTTTGAGGTGATCAGTTCGGGAAAGATTCCAATCTGCAAACAGCCATGCAAATGATACTATTTTTATTTTGATTAGTTAGATGTTACAGGCTTTCAACCATTGACATCTGACAGACAGCATAGGTAGAACAGCTTCTCCTCATCTGCTTTCTGTTTGCGTACTAGTCAAGTAAATATAGTTTCGTTTGTAGGAATCTGGGCTTACCTGTTGGACCCGAATGTGTAAACTCTGACATGCCACCGATTAATTATATTTTAAATCGGTCTGTGCTCTATGCTGCGGTAGGCATCGAGTGTGACCTAGTGCAGATTGTGTGCAGTGGTGTAGCTTATGAGTGACAGGGAGAACACTAACACGGATGATAGGATCCTGTGATCGGCAAGGCGCGCGTTGGCCCACGTGGCATTAGGACCCAAGGGTGACAGACTTCTGTTCCGCCAGCTTAGGGAGACACAGCAGCAGCAGCGGAGAGCTAGGGCCACAGAGGCAAGCAGGGCATTCGCAAGCGAAGCTGCTACTTCAGCAGCCATGGCCAAAGCTGCGCAGCAAAGCTCCCACGCTAATAGTTCAGGGACTGTAGGGGCGACAGTCGCACAGACCCTGAGTCAGTCCGCTGGCGTTATGGCAAGCCAGCAGTTAGTGTTGACGCCCAAGGAGGTCGCCATACAGAGAGCAAGTGCTCAAGAGGCACAGCTACAGAAGGCTTTAGAT